TTTCATCAAAGAACTTCTTCATTTATTTTCAGCTCAGCACATCAAAATGCTTCTGTTAGAACATTATCTGAAACAATTAAATACGTTCATCAGAGTATCAATTATATAAAATATAATTTATTATTATCATCAAAACTCTGAGATATGATCATAACTAATCTTGTTCTAACAGGGCATATGGATGTTGGAGTTGGGATATCCATTGAGGAGTTCTTCGCGGTAGAATGCGATAGGGACGAAGTTTCTTCGAAACTTGTCGAGGGTGGAGTTTTTGTTTGATCTAGCGTCATTAGTTGCTCGAACTTCCTTTTCACCGAACCCATGGTGAGTTTGTTGAATCCCCCTCCTGATATGACTCTGGCAGAGAGGAACTTCTCTCAGGGGCTGTGTGTGGCGAGGTAGAGGGTGAAATCGGCCCCATTAGGGATGTAGAAGTCCTCTGGTCATAAAATGCACATTGTGATCTACAGGTTGGCGTCATCAAAGGATGGTTTCTCCTCCTCAGCCCTTTTTTTATTATGGGGCGTCATCACGAGGACCCTATTTCTTCTTGGTATACTTATTTAGGTGCACACCCCTAATTAGGATCTCAATTGCATCCTTGATATGGATGCAGTCTTCGGTCACATGCCCATGGCTCGTGTGGAACCGACAATACTTGGTCTTGTCTTTGTTTGGCTTAAATGGAGTTTGCCTGGGAAAATAGACCCCAGCTTGGCAAAATTCTGAGTTCACGCACTTGGATGGGATGCGCTCCCACGAAGTGGCCAGTGGTGTGTATTTGTGGAAGCAGCCAACTGGCCCTTATAATCCCGAGATTCACTCAGTCTATTTTATTTTCTTTTATCTGCTCCCCGACGAGATATAAAAGAGTCATCATGCTTCGAAACTTTGGCGATCTCGGTGCCGCGAGTCCAGAATTATTGACAGCTTCTTTCTCCCCATACTGGATGTATGCCTGGACTTTAAGGAGGAGGGCATCCAGTGTTGCGGGTGTTTCGATGCCAACTGCCTTGGCAAAATAGCTGTGAGGATGCAGTTTACGCTCAAGCATATACTTTTTCATATCGTCAATCACAGAGATTTGAACAACTTCACGGTTGAATCTTTCGATGTATGCTCGAAGGAATTCGTTATTCCTCTATATGATCACTTCAAGCGATGCCTCAAATTTTGGATGGCGATAAGAGGCTGTAAAGTTCCTGGAGAACTGCTTCCCAAGATTCATCCAGGAGGTGATAGACTCGTCGGGGAGGCTTTTATACTAGGCAATAGCCCCCTTCCTCAGAGTGGTGGGGAATAACCGACATTTGATGGCACCCCTAATACCCCGATAGTCAAGCAGGGCATCAATATTCTCGATATGCTTGTTTGGGTCGATAGTTTCGTCATATGTCCCCAAGTTTGGAGGCTTTTCCAGCCTGACATGTAGGGGAATTTCCATGATTTCCTGTGATAATGGACCATAAGGATTGTCTTTATCGCTCCATCCTGGTGACTGCGGTGGAGAATAATTGTTCTTTCCTCAGAGAGGGTTATCATCTTGACGGGGAGACGGGCTTCTTGGACGACTCTCTGGCTTAGGGGAAGGCGAACAAAAGTTTTCTGATCGTCGATTGCCCTTGGTCTTCTTGGTAACCAGGGAGATCCGGTCCTTGCAGGGTGGAGTGCAATTGTGTTTCTTTATAAACGAAACCTCTGGTTTCTCTGGCGCTGAGTGATGTCTAAGTCGTTGCGACGATGCGCTGCAAAACCCACATCGTCGGTATCTATACGGAGGAGATCTTGAATGGTGCACTTTCTTTAACCCCCCGATCCTATAATTCTGCTGGAGGATCAAAGTGTTGGTCTGATTGAGTGTTGCAAGCAAGGCTGCCATAGTTGGGTCAGCGTTGGACGATACCGAAACTGGTTAGAAGCTTTCCAACGCCATTTCTCGAGCTTTCTTGGTTTTGACTGTCTCCACAAACTGGACACCATCGTCTTCTGCCTCATCGGAGGAAGGAGATGTGATGTGACCGTCCCTCTTCAGAGGAACAACTTCTTTGAGAAGTGGCATTTCGCCGTCGTTGCCAGTTTTTCAGACTGGTGAGATGACGATTTTGTGAGCAAGGTTGTTGTCGTCTTGACTTCCCATGATGGAATCTTGGAAGTTTGTTTTGATCTTCTGGCTTCAAGGGAAGAAAAGATAGGGAAACAACTTTTCTCACAAATGGCACCATTGATCTTACCGGTGATCAGAACCTATAATGAGCTAGAAACTTCGTCCGCAGTGCTGAAATTACGGAGGATTGGGGTGTACCTGCAAGACACTCTGATATTGAGGTAAGTAAGAGTGAAAAAATACATGAGAGAATTTAGGGAAAAGAGTTGAATTACCTAACCCTCACAAGTGTGAGGGTGTTTATAGTGCCACGACGCTTGGCCATTGATTCCTATTATGGGTCGGACATCCAGAATTCAGGCCCAAAATAGGTAATTGCCAGAATTTCTGCGTGAAAATAGGGACGAGCAGCTCATGCTCGTCGTCTTGGAAAACTGTCCCGCGTCTCACGGGCAGAGTGAAAACTAGTCGTTATCGCAGGCAGATGTGTGGTTAAGGGCATAAATGGTGCAGTCGATCACAGGAGCAACCGACCATGTATCCCCAACCGAAAAGTAGGCAGGGAAGTGTCCTTGTTAGCCCTAATTGATTGGGCCAATGCTTTTGAATTGCCTTAGAAGCAGGAGTGAATTGAGTCGTACTTAGCCACTGGCCCGGTATATATATATATATATATATATATATATATATATATATATATATATATATATATATATATATATATATATATATATATATATATATATATATATATATATATATATATATATATATATATATATATATATATATATATATATATATATATATATATATATATATATATATATATATATATATATATATATATATATATATATATATATATATATATATATATATATATATATATATATATATATATATATATATATATATATATATATATATATATATATATATATATCAGATCATAATTAAATAATTTTAAAAATGTATTGTCTATTTTAAAATTAAGGTTTTAGATTTAAAAGTGATATCGAAAATTCGTTCAGAAAAGTAAGAAGATTTAAAATATTATTTAATATAAGAAAAAAAATTATGAATAGAAAAGAAAAAAATATTAATTGTTTTTTAAAATACAAAATTATCCCTAAAAATATTAAATTAATAAAAAATATAAACATAAATATTAAATGCTTAACAAAATCACATTTTTCATCTTTTTCTTCTCTCTTATAAAGAGATTGTAAAAAGTGGTAGATCCCACTCTTTTTCTTCTCTTTTTTTAATTTTTATCTCTGAATCAATCAAGAGAAACTCATTTTATCTTTTTTTTATTTCTCTCTCACCTAATTCTTTCTTTTCTATTTTTCTCGAACCAATCACATCCTTAAAGAGTATTGTAAAAGAAATGCAATTATAAACACAATAGCTTAAAACGAAAAAAAGTATAATTGAAAAAATAGCTACATTTTCTTTTTATGTTTTGCAATTAGTCAACATCAGAGAAATGAAATTAAGCAGAAAGTCCATCTGACTTAAGCCCCTATTATTTTTGGTCATCCAATAGTTACGGCAAGACGGGCCAACTCATTTGTGTAAATCTAAAATTTCAAATGCACTCTTTACAATCTTGTAACATAATTCTTTCAATACATACTTTTATAGCTGTTTGTAGTTTGATCTGAATTAGTTTTAAGATAAAAATATCTGATTCAAATATAAATTTATTTGTGATTCATTCAATTTTAAATTATATATTAAAAAAATTTAATCTAATCAGATCCAATTTAATATAATTTAATTTAGATCGATTTTTAATATCTAAATTATAAATTATATTTTTATTAATATTATAAAAATATTAATAAATCATAGATTTTATATAATATATAATATATAGTATAATAAAAGTTAATATTATAAAATGAGATTGATCGATTACGGTTGAAATAATAAAAATAAATAGATTAAATCAAAATAATAAATATTATTAAGAAAATAATTATCATCTAATTATAAATTCATCTAACATATCATACTAATAATATATATATATATATATATATATATATATATATATATATATATATATATATATATATATATATATATATATATATATATATATATATATATATATATATATATATATATATATATATATATATATATATATATATATATATATATATATATATATATATATATATATATATATATATATATATATATATATATATATAAATAGATAGATAGATAGATATATAGATAAATAGATAGATAGATAGATAGAGAGATATATAGATAAATAGATAGATAGATAGAGAGAGATCGGTTTAGATTAGTTTTGAAAAATCAATTTGAAATCTAATTTAAAACCGAACGATTTTCATAAAACAGTATCAAAACACATTCAATAAATTTCAAATTTTTATAATTTTTGATTTTTTTTAAGTGATTTATCATTTTTATTTGAATTAATTTAGATTTAAATACCCCTACCTACTTTTAATCCAGCTCATTCAAATTTCAATACTTCGTGTTCGATTTGTTTTTTTTAAACGAAGCTTCAAGATCACTGTTAAATCTATAATTAAAAAACTTAACTTTTTCATAGATGGTAGAATTTTAAAATTATTTAATTATGATCCATATATATTATATAAAATAAAAATCTCAATAAGAAAACAGTCAACACATATATTGCACTTTTTTCAAAATATTAATAACAATAATAATCTATTGACTGATTTAACCCCATGGAAATCCAAAACAATGCAACAACCAAAAATTCCCCTATATAAATACAACCAACCAACTGAACCCCATTTATGCCCATACCAAGATTGAGACACTTCTCTCCTCTTCACAAGACAAACATCATCAAAAAACGGAGGAAAACAAGAGAAAAATGCGGTTGTCTTACGTTTGGGAAGGAGAACAGAAGGAGTTAGGAAGACAACAAGCACCTGGTGCTTGTCCATTCTGTGGTGGCAAAGTTGTAGCCATGGATGTTGAGGTTCAATCCAAGCTCTGTTTCTTACCCATGTGTTTTCAAATCAAGAGAAAATATTCTTGTACTCTTTGTTCTAGACGTTTACAAGTTTTGTATGATAATGCTTAATTTGTTCTTAGTATTCAATAATGTTATTTAGGATTGATTATGTTGATGTTTGTTATTATGGGTATAACATGTACAATGTGTTTAACTTTTATCTTAAAATTTGTCCTATTTTTAGTATTTTTTTTAATCAAATCAAAGGTCGTGGTGGAACTGTAGATCCAGAAAATAGCTTATTGATATGCATTTTGATGTTGGAAGTTGAAGGCTTAAAATCAGTACTGTATTTTTCTTGTCTTTTAGGGATAAAACAATTTTGTGAAAGGGACGGGTGATAAATGTGGATCACTAGAGATTTAGCTTTTTTTCCTTTAAATATTTTTTATCATTGAATATTGATTTTTTTATAGAAAAATAAAGTTTTATATTTAAGAATTGTTTTTTCTTTTAAATTAGTGACTTTCTATATGCATATTTTAATTCATTAAAATTTATGGCCTTAATAATCAAATATAAATTAAAAGTACCTTGAATTGACTAATAGCTTGTATTCCATCTATTTCTTTTTAAAAGTCACTTTTTTAATAAAAGAAAATTAATTGTTAAAAAAAATTGATATACTAAAATATGGAGAGATTAGGTTAAAAATTCAGGTAAAAATATGTAAATCTAATTACAAGAGAAACAAAATCAAAAAGAGTGAAGATATTAGATGTGCGATACCGAAAAAATATGTATAATTATTGTCTTCTCTACAAATATGAATAATTTAACAAAATTAAATTATCGTTGAGATTCGACGCATGACACCATAAAATTATGCAAAAATTCGTTTCAAAATTTAAAATAATATATTTTTTAAATCAATTTATTCTAGAAATAAACAACTTTTAAAAAAAAGTGAAATGAATTTGGTAAAAAATTTAATCAAATACATTTTTTTTATATTTTTGTTTATCTTTCGTTTTATTACAAAAGTTTTAATTTTAAATCATATCTAATATGTTATAATTTTTATGCGAGTAAATTTTTCAGAAGTTTCACTTACTTTAATCGAATAGGAGAGGGATTATTATCCTCATCGTAGTGTGTAACAACTAACAATGTAACAAGTACAAATGTCATTCAATAATGTCACTACACATAATATATGCAGGGCGTTACCAATTATTGTACTTTCAACGACTTCAATATTAAATTTATTGTTTTATTTTTAAATGTATCTAAAATATATTTTTTTATGAAAGTCTAAAAAGATTTTTCGAATATATATTTTTGAACACATTTTATAAATTTAGGATATTAGATAATTTTAAATATGAATATCCGAAATAATATTTATAATATATATATATATATATATATATATATATATATATATATATATATATATATATATATATATATGAAATTATTTAATATTTTAAATTTATTTCGAAAATATATTTATTTATAATATAATTAAATTGATTTATTATTAATAAAAAATAAATTAAATTTATAATTAAAAACTAAATATTAAAATAAATTTATGATATGAAATTAAATAATGAATGTAATAATTAAAATTTTAATTATAATGATGAGATATAATTATTTTTTAATTATTTATTTAAAATTATGGTCAATTTTTGATTAAAAAATATAAAAAAATTATTTTTTAATTATAATTTTAAAAATTAAATTAAATTTAGATGATATTTTTTAATTTTTTTATTATAGAATTGATAATTATTATATTATAATTAAAAAAATTATTATATTAAAAAGATATTTATATTAAATCAAAAATTGAATGCTATTAATAATTAATAATATTAAAATAATATATTTAATATTAAATGAATAAATTCTTGTAAAAAAAATGATGAATAATTTATAAATATTCTATGTTAAATAGATATATATTCATAAGAATAAAAATCAAACTAAAATAAAAATAAATTTAGGATATTGAACTATTTCAGATATTCATATCCGAAGTCGCTAAATTTTAATTTTTTACAGGTTTGTTTGGATATGTATCTTTGAAATAATTTAATATTTAATTATTGAGTTATTTCGGATATATATATATATATATATATATATATATATATATATATATATATATATATATATATATATATATATTAAAATTTAGTAAATTCGAATATATATATATATATATATATATATATATATATCCGAAATCTGAAAATATTTTAAAATTTTCACCAAAAGTACACAAGAAGCCTCCTAAATAGGAAAAAAAAATTTTTATAAATTTAAAGAGTAAGTACAAATATTTTTTTTGTGTGCAATCAAATATCTTCTGAGTTCAACTGAACTATTTTAACCCAACATATAAATATCAATATCATTTTACCGCATATTAATATTTAGATTCAATTTCAGAGTTTTATAGTATTTATAGTACTGTATATTAATATTTGGATTCAATTTCAAAGTTTTATAGTATTATGTGTAAATTTATAGTAATTATTATCATTTTGTGTACTATTAAAAAAACTTAGAGCATCTAGTGTGATGAAATTTTCCAATTATGCTATAAAAGGAAAATCTTAAACGTCTAATAAATTTGCGCCCCAAGTTTCAATTGTTAATAGAAATTTCATTCATGTTGTTGGTGAAATATAATCATAATTGGACCCTGTGTTAACTTTTATGACTTTTTTTGGGAGCTTCCGTGAGCTTTGAAGATTTAATCCACCCAAAATTTTATGTACAAAACAATAAAACTCAGTAGGACCTTATCACGATGTTTTTTCCTAGATATGTGACCATGTCATTTTCCATTACATAAATGAGTGAACAATGAGTAAAGGTTCAGTAAAAAAGTGTCATGTTTGTGTTGTTGTAAATAGTAGCCACGAGCACAAGAATTTCTATCTTATAACCACCACCAAATCGAATCCTGTTGTTGTTTTACCACAACCAGGTGGATGCCAACTATAACGTCCAACAACCGAAAGCAACTTGTGAAAGTGAAAGCAACTTTGTTACTCCTTTTTTTTATATATACTAGTAACAAACTCATGTTATCGCACGGGTCTCGTCTGGATTCACATTATATTTATAGATTATTAAATTATTAAGTATGTTACCATATTTTCAGTTGAATATATGTATGTTGGCATTTAACTTCATATTTGTAACAAGCGTCGGTCTTATCAACAAATCACGTCTGCATGAACAAATAGGAAAAATTATATACTTCTTGAAATACATGGAAAATGTACATACTATATATTTTAATTCAAAATAGATTTTTAATTTGAATCGTAAAGTATAAGATATAAAGTTTACCAACTATCAAAGTGCTTGAAAGACTTCCTTGTACACAACATTAGTAGTAGTAGAACACGGTACATTCTCCTTGTCATGAATTAGGACTTTTAGCCCACTTTTGCTCTTAACTCTTGAAATTGCAACATATAATTGACCATGACTAAACACAGGAGTAGACAAATACAATCCAACACTATCAAGAGATTGACCTTGTGACTTATTAATTGTCATTGCATAGGAGACAATAATCGGAAATTGTCTCCTAATCAACTTGAATGGCCAACGTGAATCAGAAGGTGACATAGACATTCGTGGAATGTAAAAAATGTTACCTATGTTCTTTCCAGACATGATTTTTGCCTCAATGACATGATTTACAAATCTTGTAACAATTAATCTTGTTTCGTTGCACAACCCATCGGCTTGGTCCAAATTTCTCATTAGCATAATAGGTGTACCAACCTTCAATTTAATCCTATGATTGGGAAGCCCTGACGTTCTTAATTTACTGAGAAATTCAGGAGTTAGAACTTCATATGCTTCAGTATAACTTGAATCTGTTCTATCAATGGAATCAAAACTCAAATACTCTTTCTCTTCTCCTAAAAAAAAGTTTAAAAGCAAAACATAAATAAATTAGTAAAACTATGTTCTTATATATATATATATATATATATATATATATATATATATATATATATATATATATATATATATATATATATATATATATATATATATATATATATATATATATATTATGAATGTAATAATACAGTAAATATAAAACACATGTACCTGGTATCAAGTCTAATACATAATGATTGATTTTGTCCACAACTTCAATGGTTGAAGCAAGAATAGCCTTTCCTTGTAAGAATTCAACATCTTGATATTTTTCCAACAAATTGGGATATGTGTTTTCAACAATTGCTCTTATAGGATCATCAAAATTTGATATTAATAGCTCTTGAGGAATTTCAATATCAACCAAACCATCATTGGGTTCACAAATCTTACCATCACCCACATTTAAAATTCATTTTGAAAATTCCGCTAGTTCATTAGAACTTGTGTTGTCTCTTCCCTCTTGAAGTCTCATATTTTTTGATAGTGTTAAAACCTGACAATAATCCCATACATAAGATGAACTAATTGATGCATGAACAATATCAGAACGCCCAGCTCTTGGAACAACAGGAAGAATCTGTCTAAAATCTCCTCCAAATACAACAACTTTTCCACCAAAAATAGTATTCTCAACACCCTTTTTGCTCATTACATCTTTAAGGGTTTTATCTAATGCTTCGAAGCAGTTCTTGTGAGACATAGGTGTCTCATCCCATATTATCACATCCGTTGCTTCAAATAATTGAGAATGTTCGGTGTCTTTGTCGATGTTGCAAGTTGAGTTGTCAAGCGTTGGCACATGTATTTTGAACTTTGAGTGTGCTGTTCTTCCACCCGGCAATAATAACGAAGCTATCCCACTTGAAGCAACAGTATGAACAATTTTTTTTTTTGAGAACGAAGTGCACTTGATAGTGTTCTCCACATGAAAGTTTTACCAGTCCCTCCGTAACCATGCAAGAAAAATACCCATCCACACTGTTTGTTAACAGCATCCATGATTTTCTCAAATATCAAACGTTGTTCATCTATAAAATACAAACCAAGAATTATAAGTGCAAGGACAATAAAGATCATTTTTGTAATTCATAGTATAAAGAAAATAAATCACCTGTAAGGGCATGAAAAAGTTCTTGGAATTT